CTACGTAGCACGGCTTCCTACTTGGCCTCAGCGTCTTACTTTACCTCAGGTAATTACAACGCGCGAAAGTTTCTGGCGCTTGTGTATTTACACGTAAAAAATTTCTTCCAGTTCTCACGACGTCCAGTGAGCAGAGCGATCATGGATCCCGTTCGTCTAGTTATGCGAACCTTCACACAAATTCGCCCCCTGTACTGCGCGAACCTAGCAAGGGAGAACTGAATGATCGTTTTCGTATTATTGTCACACGTGCCGTTGAATTTATAATGGCCGCTGACGCATCACCATCCATCAATGAATTGCAACTAACGAGAAGGCTGTTTTCTATTCTTCTGCATGGACTATGCAATCCGCTGGAGAAAAAAAATCACTGGAGCAATACGTGGTCCGTCAAGTCAGCTTTGAGAAAGTATACGGCTAGAATTATGGTGTGGCTGCTAGAGCCACATCAGAGTATCAATACGAGAATTTATGCTATCAGATCTCTAATGGAAGAACCGAGAGCTCGTGAAATTTTGTCGTGTATTCTGGAAGTTCATCCACAGGTATTTACATTAAGTTGTGCAACATATCTTCCCATTTTATACATTAAAATGTAAAATTATTTATCTATATTTAAATATGAGTTCTTGAAACGACTTACTATTGCTTTTTCATATTCTTTCACTTGTAACTTTTAATTTTCCAATCAACTGCTTATATATCGAAACAAAAGTTTGTAGCGCTACAAACTTTTGTTTTAACTCGATAAAATTGAAATTGATGTCTAGCTGGAGCAAAAGTTTACTGTGTTCTTCTGGGATCTATTGCAAAAACGAGATGAAATGCCGAGTGCCGATGCTAGGGTATGTGCAGAATTGAGAGAAGCCCTGCATGTATGGAATCTCGCCAAAGGGATTGAACAAGCTAATCCTGAAGTATGGAATGATGAATTAGCTGTGTTACGTCGAGATGTGCATCCGGATCAGGATATTTGTATCGACAATTATCCTCCCATTTTAAGGTAAACACATATTTATTCTGAAAGTTAACGTATATTTTGTAAAAAAATGAATAAAACGATGTAATTTTGTACTAGAATTGGCAAAAGATTCGATGCACTGGCGAAGCAACTAACCGAAAGCGCCATGACTATAACGCGTTCAGTTGTAGAGGAACAAAATCGTGAGCGTAAGGTATTGATGGAGCAGTTGAAACACTCGCGAGCGTTAGAAGCTCAGGCAGTTGCTAGATGGAGAGACATAGCCAAACGACTAACCCACGAACGGGCGCCATGGCATTTTTCTGAAAGTTACCCCAAAAATTGGGAATTGGATCCAACTGAAGGTCCTGCGAGAGTCAGAATAAGACTTCAGAGATGTCACTTGAATATTGACGAGAGATTCCTTTTGCCTGAATATCAAGATAAATTAGGTATATTTACAGATCAAGATAAATATTATAAAATATTATAGAAAGCATTCAGAAATTCTTTTAAGTGAATGCAATCTCCTAATTAACATTTAACACATGCAAGAAAATTTAATAGAAAAACTCACAATTTAATTTTAAATTTTATATTTTATAGCGTCTTCTAATATCGAGATACCATTATCGTATTTATTTACGAGTGTTCGTGAAGACTCTAACACTGCGACTCTAATCGAACGGTTGCATACAAGTGAGAAAATACGTAAGATGTCTCAGGCAAAAGTTGTTACACCTAGGGCTGAATTAGCTGGAGAAGTCCTCATAAGCGAGACGTGCGTGTATTTCGTTCCGGATAATCCCGATACGCCACTACATACGGACGTGAGTCATTTAATTTTTAGAATTACAATTTTATAATAAATTAATAAAACTTTTTAATTATTGTTAATTATAGATAGCATTGGGTGGTTTCGATTTGGCTGTGGCTGGTGGTACTGTTTGGCGTCTCGAGGATATTCGAGAATTGCATAGAAGAAGATATCAATTGCAAGAGAGGGCCATCGAAATCTTTCTCATTACTGGCAGAACATATCTGTTAGCGTTCAATTCGTCCAAGGAAAGGGACGAGTTTGCGACGGAATTGTCCGCTTGCAATTTACCCAGGCGAATCCCTGGCGATGACTTAGGAGAAGCTCTAGCTTTATGGAGAAGTGGCGCGCTCACCAATTGGGAATACATAACTTGCTTAAATAAATTGGCAGGTCGTTCATATAATGACTTAATGCAGTATCCCGTATTCCCGTTTGTTTTGGCAGACTATGTCAGCGAGCAGATTGATTTGAACAATCCGAAAATTTATCGGTAAATGATGGAAAATATGTAGCATGTACATTCTCAAATATATACGCGAATACAATTGTATATTTTACAGAAATTTCAAACGACCGATGGCTGTGCAAGATAAAAAGAACGAACAGCATTACATAAATAATTATAATGTAAGCCATTAAAAGTAATTATTATTATTGTGTTTTTAGCATCACTAATCAATTTATTTTACACAGTACTTGAAACAAACTTTAACAGAAGGATTAAATTTAATTGCCTTAAATCAAGGACCATTCCATTATGGCTCTCATTATAGTAATTCTGGAACTGTATTACACTTTTTGGTACGGCTTCCACCGTTTACTAGCATGTTTCTTTGTTATCAAGGTAGTTACAAAAATTATTCTTTTATAATGACATTCATTAAAAAATTAATTATTTTTATAAATTTATTTTTTTACTTTTAGATAATAATTTTGATATTCCTGACCGAACGTTTCATGCGTTAGCTACCACATGGAGATTAACTAGTTGTGATTCAACAACAGATGTGAAGGAACTGATACCAGAATTTTTCTATTTACCTGAATTTTTATTAAACTTCGAAGGTAAATCCGAATATATTGCAATTAATATTGAGAAAAATAACGAACGCATAAGTTAATGTAAATTCATATATGTTGCAGGATTTAATTTCGGTGTTCGACAAAATGGTAATAAAGTTGGAGATGTTGAATTACCGAAATGGTGCGGCGGCGACGCGCGTCTATTTATATTAGCACATAGAGCAGCGTTGGAATCCGACATTGTGAGAGAAGTATTGCCATATTGGATCGATCTCGTTTTTGGATTCAGACAGACAGGAAGACCGGCGATAGAAGCCATAAATGTTTTTCATCCCGCAGTATGTATTCTTACATTATCACAGGATAGCTTTGAACAATTAAATATTAATAGCTAATTCTTTATATTTAGACTTATTACGGATTCGACGTAGAACAGATAACTGATCCTTTAGAACGTCAGGCCTGGGAAACCATGGTACGAACATATGGTCAAACACCTGCGCAACTATTCAGAGCTTCTCATCCAATGATTCAAAATCTTGGCAACATAACGTTATCTAATCAAATACCGCAGGTTATTGAAGGGATCAGTGGTAATTATCTTCCCTGTAGCTTTCTATGGTTTAAACTGTCAATCTATATCAGCGATAATTCAAATGCATGTATTAAATCCATTAAATGTTACAAATGTCTGATGTAATCGTAGGTATAAAATGGGGAAATTATGTAGGCGCGCCCGGTAATGAGCCTATATTATGTTGGAAACTTAAGCACAAAACTCCATTAGCTTCTCTAGTTCCTTTGGCAACTGGTGACGTTTTTGGTTTGCCTAATTATACCACGCTTCTCCTTGATTACACCAAAGAAAAAGGTTATTGATTTATATCGCGATTATTGTATACCGTAATGTTTTCTTATAAAATTCAAAGCTTTAAATCTAGTAGAATAAAAACCTCTTTTGTGTTATTAGGCAGCAGCATGTTAAGCGGTATGTCTGTATTGGGTGTTGCATTAGCGTCATGGAGCAGCACAGATGGAATCGCTAGATTAAAATGTAAGAAAGAACAACCGCCAAGACCTCTAATTAAATCTTCAGGTCTTGATCCCGTAAGTGTCTTAACACACATTTCATAATTAATAAGACTCAAGAATTAAATAGTAATAAAAGAAGAAAACAATTTCTTAATACAACAAGATTAGAATATTATTTCTTCTCTAAAATAAAACATTTAATATACAATGCCTAATTATTTTTTTAGATTACGACGTTGGCATCTACTCCTGATTGCGGACAACTTTGGATTGGACATTTATCAGGCAGAATCACAGTGCACGCATATACTATAGGGACTGCGGGTAAAATCGAATTCAGTTCAACACCTGCGACAGTACTTCTAGCTCATAACAATCGAGTGACAGTGATATCTCTATCACGTATATTTAGCATTGCTTGTTCCGGCGATAGCAGTAGTGTCATTATTATTTGGGATTTGAATAGGTATATATATGGTAGAAAAATAAATTCTACATATTTAAACATAGAAAGAAGAAGTTATATGTTTATATGAGTTCAAATCTGTGTATTTTTATTTTGGAACAGCTTAACGTACGTGAGATCAATAGTCTGTGACCAAGGTTATGCTATACATCTCCTGTGTATTAGCGAAACACTTGGAGATGTAGCTGCTACTTATGACATTCCTAGATCAGAGGACAACGCGACCAACAATCAGTCCGAATTGACAGTGCACACTATAAATGCGAGAGCTGTAGGCTCCATTTTATCTAAACGATGTGTAACGGCACTTTGTTACAGTAACGCACCAGAAGGTGTTTCTGTTAATGTTATCGCAACTGGTTTAGACAACGGAATAATAAGGTACGATGAAAATATTATTTAATTATTTTAAATCTACGAACAATTATTGAAAGTGTTTATGATGATGTAGATTATGGAGTAGTTGGGACCTGCAGTTAGTCAGAGAAATTTCAACTAACGTGAGAGGTTGCGGTGCAATAATCGCTGTAGCGTGGTCTCTGGATCAACACCATTTATATGCAGTCACGGAAGACTTCACCGTTCTCATTTGGGAAGGATCTAAGCGTCTCAGCAACGGCACTCCGAAATTTGTCAATTTAACATCCTACTGACTTGTAGACTCATTATTCAAATAATTTAAAAACGATAAAGAAATAAATGGACGAACTGAGAAGACAACTTATATATCGAGAAAAAGATTTTGATTGGAAGTATAAACATGACTTTATGTTTTATATTACACTCGCAATGTTTATCCTAACGTGTAGCTTTTTCATGTATTTTCTTAATATGATTTATTGATGTAGTTTTCAGTTTTGTCATTCTGTCATTACTTACAAATTAATATGTTCATTTCGGTTAATCGCGCTCATCTTTTTTTATCCACAGTCATAATCATCATGACATGTACTGAAGAAAAAATGAACAATGCGATGAAGTATTATTCTAATAGACTCTCCCGATATAACGATTACATTCGTAATTATATATTCCCCATTATATTTTTATATAAATTTTTATATTGGATCGTATGTATTCATATAGATTGTATATCTCGTTCAAGAATGTAATTTATATACATAAATTTTTATAGAATAACAAAACATAGCAACAAAGATGTATTTACACAAACTACTCATTTTTCCAATGTTTGCATTCCTCCTGCTGATATTTCTATGCAAATATATGTATATATGTACACCAAATAAATCTTTACTGCAATAAAATATACTAATATTTTATTTATCCAACACAAATACTTAACTGCTTACCTTAAATCTCATTTAGGCAGGGTTCAATTGTTTCGAACATGGGATAGTTTTTGGTCGTCCTTCTCGCGATCTGATCTGCCGTGTCTCCACTTGAGTTAATCAGGTAGGGATTTGTGTCAGGATGCAAGAGAAGAAGCTGGAGAGCAGGGGAGTTGTATGAACTAGCGGAAACCAAATGTAAAGGTGTTTGATCTCCTTTGCTTGTTGCATTAACATCTGCTCCGTTTGCAATTAAGGCTTCGGCACATTCTGTGTTGTTCCAACAGCATGCGGAATGTAGAGGTTGCCATTCATCTTGAGTTTTAGCGTCTATTCTAGCTCCTGCTTCAAGTAGATACTGTTGGAACAGAGTCAGGATCACTTAATAAATGATTTTATAAATGCTAAGGGAAGGAAATAATTGTCTTAAACTTACTTCCACCACTTCCACATTGTTGCCATAGCATGCCCTGTGAAGTGGAGTATAGCCGTCCTTATCAGTACAATTGAGTAAGTGGCGGTTTTTGTTCAATAAATTCTTAATATTTTCCAGGTTTCCCTCTTCGGCAGCGTTCAACATGGCCTTTGCGTCAGGTTCTAAAGGGAAAAAGAAACCTTGATTTTGGAGTTTTTTGTTGTTGGAAAAAGAAACGTAATAAAAATATAAAGACATGAAATTAATTTGACAGAAAGTTCTTTAACAAAAAATGTTTTGAAGTTGTAGACACATAGTTTTATTTCCTTCGATTATCGCGAGTGCAATTAGTTTTCGAATTTCAAGTGGGGAAGCCGGTCAGAATCCTAACCTCTCGCATTACGTTCTGCATCTACACCATCATCGTCGTCCTCCCAAGCGCTCACTTGCATACGCTTGCTATGTGGGCTGCTAAGAACCTTGTCGCGTATCGCCTCCAAGTCTTGCAGTTCGTCATTCTCCTCGTCCGACGACATGCTCATTCAGTTCTATCTAAATCGGGCGAGTTTTTTAATGCATCAATTGATCAATCACTGTGCGCAAATGTAATTTCGGCTGTGGTTAAAGTCTCGCTACAAAAACTTTGAAGCGTTTGATGGACCAATTAGAGGAAAGAATTTTACAAACTGACCAATTAGAAAAACGCTTCAAAGCATTTGTAGCACCGCGTTGACTGTGCCCTTCCGTAAAAGTTGCATTTGCGCATAATATGATTGATCAATCGATGAATTAAAAAACTTGCTCATCATAACAGCTGTACGACACTATAGACGACTATTGACAATACACTTCACTGAACTGATGTCTGTGAAGCTGTACGCCCCACCATCGGAAATCAAGTTCGGAATAGGTAAAAAATTTTGCGCTAATTATGCGCTAATTTTTCACCCTATTCCGAAATTTAGCGCTCCAACCGTTTAGCAGATATAAAAAAAAATGGGGGGGGGGGGCAGCTTCCCAGAAAGCTGCAACCTCCTCCCCTAAAAAAAATATACAGGGCACGTACACAACAAATAAGTGAACAGAAAATTTTGCGCTAATTTTGCACTACACAATAGAGCCAAAAAAAAATTAAAATATAGGGTCAATTCGAATATGGTATAGAGCGTTAATTCCAATATTAGAGGGCGCCGCACACTAAAATAAATTACCTGATCGTCAAATAATTAGGAACCTCGATTGATAATGGTATCAAAATAATCCTTAGACATTCTAGTTTCGAAATATGTGCACACTGAATTTTCCGCTCACTCTTAGGTCAGTCAAAATGATCAAAACGTCGCGGAAGACCGCGCGCCGCGCTGAGTGAGCTAAGAGTGAGCGGAAAATTCAGTGTGCACATATTTCGAAACTAGAATGTCTAAGGATTATTT